ATTTGCAGGGGTGGCATTTTTAGTTTCACTCACAATGTCACTGCTACTCTAAACGATGGAGAACTAATCAGTATAACATCAAGTGAAAAGGTGTGATAGAATCAATGCTCTCTTCAAGGAACTGTACTGCTGGTTTGTGAATTCAGTGAACATTCACACAAACCATTGTTATAATAAAAATATACCTGATTGAACTAACTCGGGGGAGTATGTGAAAGCTTATAAGCAGCACATTTTTAATGCCCTAAAGACCCTCAGCTAATGGGAATGTGGGTATGCCAACCATCTGTGATACTGCCATCGAGTCAGATCTGACTCACAGCGACCCCTCCTTGGGTTTCTGAGGCAGTATCACTACGGAAGTACATTGCCAAACCTTCCTTCTGAGAGTGTATGGTGGGTTTGAACCTCCAGTCTTCTGGTTAGCAGTCAAATGTCTTAGGCACTATGCCACCAGAGCTCCCACCATCTGTGATGTAACCCTCCATGTGAATTAATAAGAGCTGCTTCGACAATTACACTGTGGGATACTCAGCTGTTAAAATTGATGATGTAGAACTGTATTTACTAACGTTAAAAAGTGCCTGCAATACACTGCTAAGTGAAAGAACAGGCTACGGACCAGAATAAAATTATTCCATATTTCTATCTTCATCTACTCAGAGATGCTTGGGGGGATAGTCTCTGAAAAACTAATATTGGTTATCTCACGATGATGGAATTTTGGTGATTTTTTTTTCTTTTGTTTTTCTACTTGTTTTTTGTTTGAATGTCATTTTTACAGTGAGCAGACATTTTTACAATTGGAAGAAAAATGCTTTCAGTTTGAAAAAAATTGCTGAAAATACAAAAGTTTCATTTAAAAAATCCTTCAAATCTCCTGAAAGAGAAGATGCTTACAGAATTTAAAAAGAAAGAAACATAAACTTTCACATGAATGAAGGAGAAATCATTCAATTGCCTCCATAACTGAGCCATATAATATGTTGACTCCTGTTAAGAATAAAAGGGAATAAAGGAAATTTTTTAAGGAAAAGCACATATAAAATCAGATCTCCTCATATTGCATGGCTAATATGCATTTTTCAAAAAAATTTATTTTGTGGTTGAAAATATACTCAGCAAACATACACCAACGCAAGCTTCTACATGTACTATTCAGTGATACCTATTACATTCTCTGAGGTGTGCAATCATTCTCACCCTCCTTTTCTGAATTGTTCCTCTCTCATTAACATAAACTCACTACCCCTACGGTATAATCTTTCGAGTTAATATACATGTTTTTTCAAGTGTTCAAAGTATCATTTCAAATACCATTTTAATTCAAGCTTTCAATGGTGGCTGATTTATAAGTACAGAATTTCCAACTGAATAGCCTATAGGACAAGAGATGAAACATGCCATCTCTGACAGCAAAGAAACAGTGCTTTCATTCACCATGACAGTTTCTGTTGCAAAAAAAGAGACAGACGCTGTTGATCACAGTACAACTCACACTTTATTCCATCATGATTGGTATATATGTAGGATTGAGACAGCAAGAGACTAAGATCAGTGCAGAACTTCTCTGGACTAAAGGGTTGTGAAAGGCATTACTGGTTTTGGCACACAGTGTGGATAACCGTACATTGGCTGGAACAAGATGGTCAGTAAAATAAAATGCACAAATTGAACACCATGTCGAAATCATGTCTGAGTTCTGTAGAATGTTAAAGAATGAACAATTACAGACTAACATGCAACTCTATATTAAAGTCACATTATTCACCTACAGACTATTTCCCCCCCCCTAGGAGATGAAGAGATGACTTTAGTTATCTGTTCACAGTAGCTTAAAAGAGCAATCAATACACATTAGAGAGATCTGCCTGCTGGTTTCTATAGCAATCCATCATAGTTGAAGAAATAATGCTTAATAATGCTCATTCTCTATAATGTTCTTATTAAATTGAATCTTACTGATCAAGTAATACTTATTCAACTTTTACTTACTTAAATACAATTCTTTATGTCTTTATAACATCAAAAAGCAGTTTCTGTTAGTTTATTTATCCTTATAAATCACAATGGACATAAAAGAGGAAGGTATGTAATGGGTAATCTTTCCTTTTCAAAGATAACAGTATGCTGATGAGAACATCAAAGAAGTAATACTACTATGCTGCAAAAATTCTAGGTTTCACACCATTATATCACATAGGGAGTCCAAAGAAGCCAGCTTAGTAGGTAATGTAACAGTGCAGAATGTGATTATGTATAAGAGGCACACAGATTCTAAGTGATTTCTTGAGACAAAGGGAAGGAAAGAGGGAAAGGAGTAAAGGAAAGGAGAAGTGAAAATTGGCCTTCTGCAGAACAAATTGTTCACAAGAAAAATTGATTCACTTGTAATCGATTAACTATCATAGGGATCAGTTCTTAAGTTTGGAATGATAGAAGTAAAAATATTGAAAAGTATATGCCAAAAGTCTTTAACATTAACCCTAATCTGGCTAATTGGGTTATTTTTCCCGTGGTTCTTTCTGAGATACGAAAGTCTCAGGTGGAGGTTTTCTGCTTTTGCCAGTGAAGGGCCAAATTTAACTCAGAAGGCAAGCAGACCTGCTGAGAACAATTTTTCTTTACTAACTTAAGCATGTGGTTAACATTTATTCTCTTTCTAGTGGGAAAAAAAAAATGCAGTAAGTCCCTGGGTTGTTGTTATGTGCCGTCAAGTTGGACCCGACTCATAGCGACCTCTCCTTGGGTTTCTGAGGCAGTGTCACTATGGAAGTAGATTGCCCAACCTTCCTTCCGAGGAGTGGCTGGTGGGTTTGAACCACCAGCCTTCTGGTTAGCAGTCAAGTGACTTAGGCACTAGGCTACCAGAGTCCCTGGGTTATGAACATGTAACTTACAGACAACTTGTACTTACCCTTTAATGTAATGTAAATGTAATGTAAAGTAATGTAATGTAAATTTGACCTCATTTTTAAATGACTGAAGTAATTCTTAACCAAGAAAACCAAACACATTGTCATCAAGTTGATTCTGATTCACAGTGACCCTCTAGGACAGAGGAGAATTGCCCTATAAGGTTTTCAAGGCTCTAAATCTTTATGGAAGCAGATGGCCACATCTTTTTTCCTCAGAGTGTCTGATGGGTTAGAACCTCTGAACTTGTAGCAGTGCAATGGTTTAACTATGGCACCACCAGAGTTCCTTGATCCAACCCCTAACTTGCAAAAAACTCTTCATCACAATCACCTTCACTTCCTGCATGTGCAGCTTTTAAAGAAAACCTTCTAATCTATTCTTGCACTAAACTCCAAACCAAACCCACTGCCATTGAGTTGATTTAGACTCATAGTGATCACCATTGGGTTTCTGAGGAGGTAAATCTTTATGACTGCCACGTCACCCTTCCGTGGAGTCACTCATCAGTTTGAACCACCGACCTTCTGGTTGGCAGTCAAATGCCTTAGGCACTGTGCCACCGGAGCTCCTTATTCTTGCAATAAAGTAAGGCTAAATAAGAACTGTAGGCACCTGTTCTGACTTACCTACAAATTCAACTTAAAGACATATGTAGGAATGGATTTCGTTGGTAACTCAGGGACTGCCTGTATTCGTCCATGACACTGTTTGAATATGACAGTGGCCAAGATATGGTTCATTCTCAGGGTGCACATAATTAGGTATTTGCATGTGATATGAATTTAAAGGTTAAGCAAGAAGGAAGAGAAGAAGTAGAAGGAGTTTCTTCAAATTTCTAGCATAAAATCATCAACTAAAATGCAAAAGACAGTTAGTGGTTAAAGATGTTTTGGTTTTTAATCAGTGGCTTATCACTTCCTCCTGTGAAGGGGGAGGTGCAATGAATGATGGTAATTCTCTCTCAGTCACCAACACAGAGAGTGTTTGATTACAAACACACAGGTGAGCAGAGCAAGACTTGTAGTAATATTTCTTAAACTTCCTGATTCTTAATCTTAAACAGCAAGCCACAGGCAATACAGGAATGGTGGATGTGACAAAGAAGTTTGATAACATGCCTGGATCAGTCACTATCCCTTGGAAAGTACCACTTCCCTGGCCTGCTAATAGGCCAATTTTCTTAGGTATAAGTAAAAGACAACGATCTCTTCCTCTAGTGTGTCACGGTTCTTTGTAAGGTACTGTGTCAGTTTACAATCGAGTGATTTGAAGAAAGAAGTTTTACTTGAATTCCACAGTAAATATTCACGGATGTTTCAAAGTACAATTGTCCGTTGTCTGAAGCTGGTTTCAAACACTTCCTGAACATGAAGCACTATTCTCTCTGGGCTAATCTATACCATTGATTACCATTACCATTAATCTACACCATTCATAATCATTTTCAGTTGTGACATTTGTTTGAAAGAAAATAATGTTGCTAGAACAGGATAATTGCAGAGAGTAGAAGGCTAGAAAGTGGGTATGGGGAAATAGAAATGGACTGAATAAGGAAAAAGTAAGACTTCTCTCTAAGGTCTATATATGCCTAATAATGAAGCAAAAATTCATGGAATGTTACTTAAAGACTTTCTAAGACATTGTACTCATAGGGTATTTCCAAGCTTCCTGATCTACAGTCCCTTAGCAACGGTCTGGTGCTAAATTTACCTTCCGAGGTGTGGTGCCCTACTCCTTCTGGAATTTTGATCTCTGGGCCAAACCCAGTCAGAATGTGCCTCTGTGTAGTCAAACTCCCCCAAACAACTGCTCCAATCCTGGTCACAGTTCTGTTGAGGAGCCTGTTTGCACCTCTGGCTGTTCAGGAGATAAAGCCAGGAGGCAGAAGAGACTGACGGCAGACAGGGTAGACCTGCAGGAAGGTGTCCAGAGGGGAAGACCGTGGGCTTTACCTGAGGTCAAAGTGATGGTGATAGAAGTGGGAAAGACAAAAGAAAATGAGTGGAAAGAAAGTTTTGAGTGAAGAATAAATCAAGAGGGAAAGGGGGAAGACACATGGATGAGGAATTTCACAGGAACCAAAGATGATTAATGACACAGAAGAAAATAAAAAGCTTATCTGACTGATCTAGAAGTTATTCTTGCCAATATATTGGCAACTAAGCAATCTTCACACTAGGAATACAAACAGTAATGAGTGTTTCCTTACTATTGTTACTCACATTTCAGTAGTTCATTAGCTCTATATTTTCTAGATTGCTTAAATCATTTAGCAAATCCACAGCTTAGGTACCACTGTGAGAGAGTAGGGTACAGAATGGAACAATTACATTTAAAATTAAATATTTGTAAACAAGAGTTAGTAGCACAGTGGCACAGAAGATTGTCAATGAAAACAACAGAAGTGTGTGCAGAGGCGCCGGCCTTGTGTGCGCAGTACTGCTGGCTACAAGGGGGGACTCTGCAACTCACGAGTCTACCTTTTTGTTAATTAAAATTGAGCAGCAAGTGAGCAGCCCATCCACCTTTTCCAGTTCAGAGTGGCTCACGGGGATCAGCATATGGTCCTTCAGTTTTTCATAAATCTACAATAGGAATAAAGGGAAACGTAGAGAAGAAGGGTTATGTTTTGCATTGGTTTACCCCTCCTCTGTTGGAAAGACAAGCTTGTGAGTTTAGGGTTATCTTCCTTTGCTAGTACTGTGAAATAACAATACCACAAGAGGGTGGCCTTAACAAGTAAACATTGATTGTCTCATAGTTCAGAAGGCTAGAGGTCTAAATTCAGTGTGTGCCTCTAGGGGAGGCCCTTCTTTGTCTATTTCAGCTTCTAACCAGTTGCCTTTGAGTCAATTGCGACTCATGGTGACCATGTGACCCTATGTATGTCGGAACAGAACTGTTCTCCATAAAGTTTTCAGTGGATGATCTTTTGGAAGTAGATCACTAGGCTTTCCTTTCAAGGTGCCTCTGGGTAGACTTGAGCTGCCAATGTTTTGGTTAGTAACCAAATGCATAACTGTTTATATCATCCTGAGTCACATTTCAGCTTCTTAAAAAAAAAAAAAAAAACAACAAAAAACAAACTCACTGCTGTTGAGTCAATTCCGACTCATAGCAACCCCTCCTTGGGTTTCCAAGGTGGTATCTGTATGGAAGTAGATTGCTCCATCTTCCTTCTGAGGAGTGACTGGTGGGTTTGAACTGCCAGCCTTCCGGTTAGTAGTCAAATGCCTTAGGTACTAGGCCACCAGAGATCCCCTTTCAGCTTCTAGTATCAGGCAGTCCTTAGAGTTCCTGGGCTTGTAAATGCATCTGCTCTGTGTATCTGTTTTAATGTGGTATCTTCCCCATTTGTGTTTCTGTGCCTATTCTGTTCTTTTTACAACTCAGAAGTGATAAGGTTTAGGATCCACCCTACTCTGGCATGGCCTCATTAATATAACAAAAAAGAAAGCCTCCTATTTCCAAACAGGATCATGTTTACAGGTCAGGGGTTAGGATTTTACATACATATATATGGTAAAAGTATAATTCAATCCATAACCAGGCTTTTCACTCATTCAACCCCATGCAACATAGACCGCAGAGATGTTGTTGTTGTTATATGCTGTCGAGTCACACCCGACTGACTCCTAGCAACCAGTCCTTGGGTTCCCGAAATGGTATCATTATGGAAGTAGATTGCTCAACCTTCCTTCTGAGGAGTGGCTGGGGGGTTATGAAACACCAGCCTTCTGGTTAGCAGACAAGTGCCTTAGGCACTACACTACCAGAGCTCCCGACTGCAGAGATACCCACAGCTATACCCATAGAGATAGTAGCAACTGGTTAACCACCAAGTCTATGCTGTAACCTCAGAACCAAAGATGTGTCAGAAATGTGGTTGGTATCAAAGATGCCTTTACTCTGCCATTGTCATTGGTAGATTAAGTGATACTTGAAAGTGGGTGGCCATGTCCTCAATCTAAATATTACTTTCTCACACTTTAAAACCCTCTAAATTGTACTTTAATGTTTCTTTCCTTAGCAAAACCACTGGAAAATTCTGACAAAATATAATTTAAGTATTTCAAGTTGAACTGCTTTTAAATCACAGGTGTAAATGTGTAAATTTTACAGCATCTTTTGACATTTAGTTGAAAGTATGTGTCAAGATTTCAAATTAACAGTCTCCAAGTTTACTTTGACAATCAAACAAAACACATTTTTAAAACAAAATCATTTGAAAATACATTGCCTAAAACTATCTATCAAGCTGCTTTAGGAAAGCACTGTGCTCTTTAAAATTCAGTACAGTGGTTAACTAGGAGCTCTGGAACTGGGCAGACTTATGACTAGCAGTGTGACTTCAATCAAGTAACATTCCCGCTGAGCCTCAGTTTACTTCTCAGTAAGACTGGAATAATATGTTCTCACAGGGCTGCTGCAAGGATTAAATAAGATAATGCAGGTAGCATGCTTGTTACAGTGTCTGGCATGGGAGACATGTTTGGTAAATGTGATTATTATTGATATCATTATCACTGATAGACACAGGGCTGAATTCAGAATGAGATAATAGTTATTTGTTGATAAAGTGATCAGTGTGGCTAAAGAAGCATGCATGATCCTGAGCTGTGTTTTCCAAAGTGAGTTCTGTGGCCCCAGTCCTTGTTGATATTGCAGATTTCAGTGTGTGTGTGTGTGTGTGTGTGTGAGTGTGCATGTGCACGTGTGTGTATAGGGTCCAGGAACCTGCATTTTGTAGCACAGCGGCTAAGGCACTTGACTGCTAACCAGAAGGCTGGCGGTTCAAATCCACCAGCCACTCCTCGGAAGAAAGGTTGGGCAATCTACTTCCGTAATGATACTGCTTCGGAAACCCAAGGAGGGGTCACTATGAGTTGGGTCCGACTCGACAGCATATAACAACAAACAAACAACGATGCACATTAATATATGAGACCCATTATTTATCTAAGGAAGGGTTAAGCTCCAGTCTGGGGTCAGGAGTCTTATATTTTCCTCAGGTTCACACTTTCAACCATGGAAATAGAGAAAAATCAGCTACTTTTCCCCCAACCCTTCTCTTTTTCTCTGTGACTATGAGGATAAGCCTAGTAATTAAGAGTATTATACATTTTAAAAATGGCATTAAATATTTTTCTAATACTTATCAAGCTTAAGTGTAAATAAATAAAATCAGTAGTTACTAAAGGCTCTTATCTTCTCTAATACTTAGTATGAGTATCAGTCCTCTGAGAAGAAATGAAGATGCTGAAATACCTAGATGATTTGGATATTTGAAGAAACTATGGGTGACTTTTATCTGCTTGGCAGAATTAGACTGAAATTACTATGCTATATAGATGAGCTCGGCAGAGTGCCCTGAAAAACAAAGAAGATTTTCTTAGACCAGGAGAGAATTCCAGATGTGGGGACAATTTCTCAGCTGGAAAACAAATGCAGAGACTCTTACCCTTTGGCTGATTCCAAATATATGACATTTCTTCCTGCTTTATCTTTTTGACAGAATTGCTTTTGCCTACCTAGGAAGAGCAGACTCTTGTTTTCTCAGCTCTGGCAGTAAACATCCACCTCTTTGGGCTATTTGTATTCCTCTGCCCTAAGAAACAAGTGAATTTCTGATGAAGGGCAGCTCAGAGCTGTTAGAAAACAATAACACAGCTGACCATCTAATTGCAGGTCTTTGTGCTTAATGAGTATCTGAGTGTGGGGAGGTGCATTTAATCAGAGCTGGAGCACAGACTTGGAAGATCTGAGTACTTATTTGAAAAGCTTTCAATACCAGGCATGATTGTTTCAATTACTGTGCATGCATTAGTGACCAATGACATAAATGAGAAAAGTGAGCTAAATAAAATATCCTTGTGGCCTAAATTATAATGATCCATTCTGATTTCTTAACAAATTGATATATAGGGAGGAAAAGGAAGCTCCTGTTATTTGTCACTCCATCATGACAAATTCCAAAGCAGGAAGACTGTTAGGGAGGCTTTTCCAGCTGCAGTGGCTAGATAGGACAGGGTGTTACCTTTGCACTTTCTGGATACTCTTCTGGAGTTCGGTGCAGCAAGACATGCCCTTTGCCGGGGATATTTAGATATATACAGTTTGCAGCCATGTCATCAGGTACAGTGAGTTTGTCATAGCGGTGGTCGCTCATCTGTTGCATAATCTAGAAGAGAAATAAAGAAGGCCTAAGCAAACTGTCCCTACATTTTCCAAAGAGAAGGAAGGCAGCATGGTGAAACAGGTTTGCAACTGATGTCTAAGAATGTTCCCCTGTGTTCTAATTCCCATCTATTATCTTTAATCACTTAGAACCAGAAGAGGAAAACCTGATTAAATTATGATCCTTTGGAGAAACTGCAGTTTTCCACCCCTGTCCTTTTAACCCTTTCATGATCAAATTATCTTTTGCTTTGAATTTTTTGTTAATATCATGTGCTTTCAGTAATGGAAGCCATGATGAAATCAAGGGAAAAAAATAATTGAGGTAATATGGATTTTAATATAATTATGTGGGACACATAAATCCCAAGTGGACTCTAGTGGTAGGATTGCTGGGATAAAGTCTGTTTCTTCAAATGCATGCAGTTAATCTAATCTGAAGGTCTCTACCAAGTGGTAGTATGTACTACACCTGGGATAGGAGCTTCCCAAGAAACCTAAGAGGCTGAAAATATTGGTGGGCAATAAATGTCCCATGGGTCATGAAAGGGTAAAGCCAGTGTTTCTCCCCCTCCCTAGATTTTGAACTTTCCATTATTTTTTAGGTTTTTATTTGTAAGACACATCAGTAAGATGAAAATGGTTTTGATGATGCCTTTGGCTGAATAAGCAGGTTGGTCAATAATCTGATTTAGCAATAACTACACACACACACACACACACACACAAGCCTCTTCAGTGCACATTTAAATTGAATTCACTTGTTGGCAGGACTAGATTGACCTTAATACAATAAGCATAAAAATCACCTGGGAAAAAGGTTAAAATCATGTTCCTAGGCCTCACTCTCTAGAGACTCTGGTTTGGCAGATCTGGGGGTGGGCAGTAGGAATCTGCATTTTGAAAGCCTTCCAGGGAATTCTGAGGCAGATGGTCCATGGACCACATTGGAGAAACACTAACTTAGCAGGACTATTTTTCAAATCAGTTTATACCTTAGTATAAAATAACTTTAGAAAACCTACAAATTAAACTCTACACAAAATTTAAAACATTGACACAACATCTCCACCTCTGTAGCCCAATCAAAACAATGCCCTCCAAAAAACACCCTCTTAAAAAAACAAAAAACAAAACCCTAAATACCAAACACCAAATACACAAACAAGTATTATTTTGAGCTTAGCTGCATAGACTCTTTCCATTCTCTATCAATATTCATAAGCTTTCAAAGAATCTGCTGGAACGTCATGTCATAAAGCTGTAAAAAGATCTTTTCCACACTCTGGTTCTAATACAGCTTTCCAGCCAGGTTTCCCTCTATTCTTCAGATTCGTGTGGAAATGTGCATCATATAACTAGACTCCAGAGGTAAGGAGACTTGCCCACTCAGTCATGTTTTGCATTAGGTAACATTGATGTAGAAGAGTAGAAGAGACTGTATGCTCTTTGTAGAAAATTCATTCTCAAGAGAAAGTGAAGAGTGGCACATAGCAAGCCCTTCCTGACTCACCAGTCACCTCTGCGGAAGGATATAGAGACCACAGGAGTACACTGTGGTATGTGTACACAATTGGATTTCCTCAGAAAAACAAGGGATGGTCTATGTTCAGTAATAGACATATAATTAATTACTTAATGTGAAACCTAGGAGCTCTGGTGGTATAGTGCCTAAGGCATTTGACTGCTAACCAGAAGGCTGGCGGTTCAAACCCACCAGCCACTCCTAGGAAGGAAGGTTGGGCACTCTATTTCTGTAGTGATACTGCCTCAGAAACCCAAGGAGGGGTTGCTAGGAGTTGGATCTGACTAGACAGCAGTGCATTTCTAATGTGAAACCTGGCTAAAATGAATGAGCTCAAAGTTTTTTTTTTTTTCTTCTTCAGTACCTCATAGAAGGGCACTATACTGTGTGTGCTCCTAACCCAAATGATCTGGATATTAAGACAATAGGGAGTAGTGGAGTTTGGGGTGAAATGGAGAGTGTATAACACCTAAAAAGAAAGGGAAAAACAAAAAACGTGTGTACTGCACCAAACTTACCTGTTTCTTCCAGTTTATAACCCTTGATTTAGCAAAACAGTGCAGAAACTCAATGAAGAGACTGATTTCTTCATAAGTGGAACTATCTCTATTTTCAAGATGGCAGTGAGATTTGAGAAAATTTTCAGCAATGACTTGTGGCCAGTTTGATCAATTTGCTCCAAGTGCAGGGAACAGAATCACACTATGTCTGAATCTCTGCTTACTGTGTGCCATTGAAGATGGACCATAGTGGTTAGTCTGCTTTTGTATGCAAGCAGAACTGGTCTGACACCTCGTATGGACTGCACTTAAGTTACCAAGAAAAAGCAGGATTTCTTCCAGAGCACTTGGAAGACACTTAGTTTTCTGGGCCTGTGGTTTCCTAAGTAGGACTTCAGTCATTCAAATAGAAATCCTGACTTCTTCTCTCACAAAGGTTCTTAAGACATAGTATGTGCAACCTATGTTACCTGGTCAAGCCTAGACACAAACTAAATAAAATCCCGAAAATCAAATTGCCCACTGACTTAGTTTCTAAGTAAATGGGGGAAGTGTGGGAAACATCTTCTAGGTCAGTGTACTCAGACTAGCTACTCAGGCTACCATGCATAAGCACTAGATAATTGCCATTTGGGTTTCTAGTGAAACTCATGGTCTATAGATGATTCTTTGCCCTCTTTATCCAGACAAATCACCTTTTTCTCTTAGTGGGATGAGGTGAAGGAGAAAAAAGCATGGCAAGATAACACTTCCTAGGGCCGGGCTATACCTTCAGCAGCTTCATAAGCAGTGTGAGCAAATTCCCACCTCTCAGCCTGACTCATGCATGTCCGGTGGTGACTGTGAAGCAGAAACATGGAATGTTGTACATTCCAGAGGAAATGTTATCAGGGATCATTATCAGTGCCGACTTCTTGTTTATTATTGAGGGAACAAACTAAAATCTCCAAGGTTGTGCGTACCTGAGAAAGTGCCAGAATTCTTTGGAATAACGGAGACTGTTATTTCCTTTCTGGTTGTGTTTTACTTTGGCTCCAGCTCTTTCCATTCTCTGGCCTCATCCCCTCCCCTCACCACCTTGAATGAACAATCCTCTTCCTCCTCAGTTCCTATTTGTTTTGTCACTTCTCAGTTAATGGCATTTTTTTTTTTTTTTTGGTTGTTTTTGCTTTTTGAAATTCTAATTTCTGTTTTTCCTACTCTTCAATACTTTTCCCTTTTCTCAGCCTTATATTTTTGGCTTATAGCTTCTGGTAGGGGGCACTTTTTTAAAAAAAACTGTGATTTGGGTGAAAGTTTACAGAGCAAATCCATTTTCCATACAGTTGTTCATGTACATTTTGTTTCATGACATTGATTGAAATCTCATAATGTACCAGCTCTCTTCCCACTTCCTCCCTGTGGTAACCTTTTTTAAAAGTTTGTTTTACATTCAACATTATGTGTACATTTAGTTCCACTCACCATTTACTATCCCCAACCCTAACCCAGTCTCCTCCCCTCCCAGCCCAGTAACCACCCCCCCCATGCCCCTTATAGTTATGCACTCCTGTGTGTCCTGCATTTCCTCTGTGCAAATGTTACCCCTCTGGTGCCCCATGGTCAATTACTCCAAGGGATGCATCTCCATAGAATATGTGGGTGTGCCACCCTGGGTTGAGTGGTCTGCATGTACATCCTGTTTACTGTTGGGCTGAGAGCCAGCCCCTGAGAGTGAGCTTTATTCCAGGCCCAGAATGTATCCCAGGACCATAGTATTGGGGGTCTCACCAGACCCCATCGGACCAGTAACTCTGGTCATTATTGTTTGGACTTTGTTCCATGTTTTCCCTCCCATTTTATCCAGGATCTCCAGATTTGATCCTTTCCTGAGTTGTTGGCATTGGTAGCTGGCCACCATCTAGTTCTTCTGGTCTTGAGGGCCATCATGTCCTAGGGCTGGTTGCTTCCAAAGCCCTGTTTTCTTATACTCTTCTTTGCTTCTGATGATAGGAAACCATTAGCTGCATCTTAGCTGGCTGCTTGAAAGCTTTTAAGACCCCAGTCACTACTCACCAATGTAGGATGAGGAACAAGACTTTTATGTATTTTGTTGTGCCAATTAAGTCTGGTGTCCCCCAGCACTATGGTCCTGAGTTGGTAGATCCGTTGGATCTCTCTCCCCCAGTGTCTGGGTGTCTGTGAGGGATTACTCTATGTCTGTCTTCTGTTGTTTCTGTAAGGATTGCATTGTTTTGTATCACTAGTATCTGTGCAAGATTAGCCTTCGCCGAATCTATCCTTGGTCTAGAGTATAATCCTGTTCACTGATCCCCATCTGACATTCTCAGATGTTTAAGTGTTTATCTGTAGCCCGGTGTTTGGTGTTAATGGTAATGCAGTATTGTACATATACTGGTTGGTATTAGCATCTGTCGTCTACATATTATCTGTACAATTCAGTGTCCTCCCTTTTCCTAATGCTATCATGGTGGTTCTGGACTCTTTCTATACCATCCCTCTCCTTACCCACATCAGTGTGTGGCGTGTGGCAATCTTTATCCTGTGGCCTTCTTACCTGTGTATTCCTGCCCCCTGAGCTATCTGCCTGTGCAAGTACTGCCTCTCTGATCTCCCATGATTGATTGTTCTAAGGAGTGTAACCTGCCTGGTATAAATGTTCACCTTATATGCCTGTCTTTTGTTTGGCTGGAAGCCACTGGAGTAAGTTCAATTCTGGGTCTGCTACAGACAATAGTCTCGGGGATTTCACCAGTCTGCATTAGAGTAGTACCCCGGTATTTTTTTTTATGATTGTGAGTTTTGTTCCACATTTTTCTCCCACTCTATCCAGGATCTCCTATAATGATCCCTTTCCGAGTGGTTGAAAGCAGTAGCTGGGCACTGGTGGTGGCATTTTCAAAACTATTGATAATAGGGCCAGGACCCAACCTAGTGTTATTTGAGAATAGTTTCATTCTTTTCATTACTGGGAGAAAG